TGCACAGCCATGCACAGCAGGTCACCTGACCATCCAATCCTTCCAGCAGGTTCCAGCACATGCCAAGGTATACCAGCTACTTCCATGTCATAAAGGCTTAGTCATGTCTCTTGACCAAGCAATGAGCTGGTGCCCTGACAGCAGAATAACACACCTGCCAACTTGTGAAAGCTCATGTGTGTGGTCATTATTTGTGACCATATCTGCTAAGCCATTGTACACTTCTGCTTGGATTGTTCTTTGGTTAAATTCAATCCAACGCAGGTGTGCTTGCTCCACACAGGCCCAGGCATTGACAATGAACTGCTGGAATAGCCTTCCACAGTGGAAAAGGTGGAATGCCCATGGAAGGTTGCAGAAATGAAGGTGGTAGCAAAAATACTCCATTTCTGTGACCTTTGTTTCTTGGGACATTCCCTGGACTTCTGCATCATCTTCTTGCTCATCTTCCAGCCCATCTTCCTTGCCCTGATTGTGCTGTACAGCCTGCCCAACCTTTGGTATAGCCCAATGCCATCCATGTTCACCATTTGGGAATGCCAACACATAATGCAATGGCATATATGCAGGGTTGCCAGTGCTCATAATTGTGAGCTGTCCATCTGTGTGGTTATGTAGCACAAAGTCCCTTTGCTCATTTGTGAGTGTATTAGGGAGGACAACAGCAACTTCTTCCACAGTTGGCAAGTTATAGTGGCATTGGTCTTGCTTCAGGTCAAACTGCAGGTGTACTTCCACCACTTCATTGGGTCTTCCAGCCTCTATATTGCGCCTCTCCTGTTCCTTCAGAACCTCAAATGCATGCTGAAATTGCTCTGCATAAAAGTGTTTCTCTTGCAGGACCTCACCCAACTCCCACAGGATTTGTGGCCTAAGATTTGTGTTGTGTCATGCACATTCTATGTTGGCCACCTGTGGGTCCAGAAAGTATAGCTGATTGTATGCTGGGTGTGTCTCTCCAACTGGGTGAGCTGGTCCATAGCAATGGTAGAGTCCTCCTTGTATAGAAAAAGACTATACCTTGTGCTTGTGGAATCACATCACTTCTAGTTGTGGCAAGTGAAACAAAAGAGAGTGCATGATTATACTGCTGGATATTCTCTTTGAAGTGCCTTGCATGTTCACCATCAGAGGCCATCAGTCTTGCTAGCTCTGGTGGCACTGGCAAGAAATCAGGGAGCTGTATTTGACCATGTACACAGCATTTTGTGAATATTGGCTCTGCAATGGTCGAGTGTCCTGCATGTTCTTTAATGAAGTGTAAAGCAAGACAGAAGGCACAGGGCCTATCCATCCTGCCTAGGTAAATCACTTTGTGGTGATTGCGAGCAGCCTTTTCTGCATACTGCTGCACTTCATGTGGTTGCCATGCATGGGTGACTTGCAATGCTTGTATTGCATTTTGTGCCTCCAGTTCTCTTTGCTGCCTTTGTTCTTCCTCAATTACTTCATTCTTCCCTTGCTCATTTTGCCCTCCAAGTCCCAGATCATTTCCTTCTTGATGTGGTAGCTGGAGCTCTTCCAGCTGTGGTTCCACAAAGTCTAGATGACCAAAAGGCATTCCAAAATCATTATCCCTGCAGGCTTGCTGTGAGGCAGACTGATTTTGATGCTGTTGAGAAGCCCTTTCAGCAAGATGTTGCTGATGAGATAATGTTTGCATAGGAGGAATGAGTGATGATATAGGGACTGCATTGGCAGTAGCAAGATTTGTGGTAGCAGGTCCAAATGGCCTTTGAAGTAATGGGTCAGGTCTCTGGTGCTCCAAGTTAGCACTCTGATGGCGAAATACTGGCTGTGGAATGGGGGTGCAATCATAGGGCAAGCAGGCAAGGTGTTCACTTGGTGATGTCAAATTTTGTTCACATCTTGCATGGTCTTCACTTCTCTGTGAAGAGCAGGGTGTTGTAGGCTCTGACCTACACCAATTAAGTTCCCTTTAAGCATACCCTGCAATCCCCTTCAAATCCTGATTCACTTACATAATAATATGCTTTGTGTAACAGTTCATGTTTTTGTTTGTTTTGTTCGATAAGTGTGTGTTCTATAGTCAAATAAAATACCAATTAATTTCCGAGGGTCAACCAACATTCAACAATTATGTGAATAATTAATTATTCATGTTGTATGGGTGTGGATACTATCAATTATTGTTTTGCTTCCTTCTCCCCCACATAGTAGGAAACAGGCCCTGGCAGTGACACCCCTATCCAATCACCCTATGAGCATGATGTTTTTGGGAATCTATTCACGCGCCTCCGGAAGTGTCACAATTTTGTTTCAATTTTTTGTACATTTTTTGTACATTTTTTGTACACTTTTGTGTAGTCAGAAAATTATTAAATTTTATAATCTTGCTATTAGAAAGTGTACAGATGTGAGCTAGGGTCCGAAATCCGCGTCGCATTTTTGAGGGTCTCACCCGGGCTCCTACAATCAAGTGTACACTTTTGTACACTTTATACACTTTTGTACACTTTATACACTTTTTTGTAGTTAAGGATTTTTTAATTAATAGTTGTATTACTACTCTAATACAAAATGTACTAATTTCTGTCAGGGTCCGACATCCGCGTCTAGCACCCCCCCAAATGCCACGTGCGCTTGTCTACACCGCCACGGGGGGGTCGCTATTCATTATTAGATGAACAATGAGAGAGCAGACAAGGGCTCGCCAATTGCCTAGAACTTTGTCACCCCGCAGCGGCGGTGGTATTTGACCCTGACTCCGACGAGAAAGAATCACAGCAATATTCTCTTCCGCAGAGGTAGCAGTTCTCGATAAAAACTTTATATTCTTGGCCTTCGATTTTACAACAGACAGACCGACGAGCCATCGTATATGTAAATGGACGAGGCGTTCTTTTTCCTGTGCGAATCGGCAGCCTCTACACCCTGCCCTCAGGATCAGGCCCGAATGAGGCTATTCAGTTCAAGAGGAGTGAAACAAAGCAGTGTCTCGCATCACGTGAGACTCCGGCTATTCAACTCGGCGTGCTCACAAAGCCCGATCGTTTCTCGACATCTTATCGAGTCCTTCGGTGAAACATGCGTCAAGTGCCACGAAGGAGCTTAGTGCTGTACCACTATACGACGGGCTCAAAGGGATATAAACTGAATCTTCCTTATCTCGTTGCATCGTGTTTATGATTGCATTTATTGAGGTGGTAATAATATCTAACAAGGAGATCGATCGATCGCAGATTCTTTGTTGCAGGTATCGCGATTTACGCCAGATCAAGAGGCTGTGCTGCGGAAGCAGTCTCCAGTCCAGTGCTTCAGGTTTGAATCACTCTCTTCGTCCTCGGACGATGGATTTCCAACGAGCGCCAGTCAGTTTCTCGACTTTTGAAATGTAATCTACGGCCAAGACGACCGGTCTTCCTAAGCCTTGCATCGGCGAAGAGAAGGCGCCCATGGCTACCCGGGAGCGTGCTCCGCCAGCGGTGTGCGACATGCCCCCTCGCTTGGGGGTTTTAAAGGACGCGTGCGTGGATACCAACGTCCTCTTTGATATATTTTACTTGTTGCTCTCATATCTGCTATGCTCTATGCCACTTTCACTCAAGACAACGTGATGTTCTACCCGCAATACCAGGAAGCAACCACAAGCGGTCCTGCGAAATCCTCAACAACATCACCGGTGGTCTCTCCCACAAAGGAGCCTTTGCGGATGACGCGTGGAGATTCCCTACTGGGAGAGTCTGGTGGAATGAATCTGACCAAGATGCCGTACGATATCTTGACTCATATCTTCACGTTGGCGAACGAGGACGATTCCTGCTTGGCTACATGTTCCCCGTCTCCGACGAGTCGCCGGCCCTCCCGCTGTGGAGAAGTAGCTGTTTGCCTCTCTCACGTGAGCACTCAGTTTCGGTGCGTAGTATGAATTGCTCTATCATTCAATCTGACCGTAGTTGCACAGAGACGTTGCACTGTCTATGCCGACGCTTTGGAGGTGCATCAGCGTACAAGGTCGTGGGCGATCCGAACTGCTCCGTGCAAAATGCTTCAGCTCTCGTACGCAGACCTGTCCTGTGGACATTGATATCGACATGACTGTGACACCAAAAGACAGCCAGCGGTACATCTGTTCATTGAGACAGCGTTATGAACGGACGGACGATCTCCGCGCAGTAATGACCTTCCTACCGCCAATGAAGCACTGGCGTTCGTTCTGTTTCACAACAAAATCAGATTGGAATGTGCGGCTATTGATTACTGTCCTGGACCAGGCAGCGCCTGAATTACGCACCCTGAGTCTCTGCAGCCTAGGAACAAGCACACGCACACGAACGACGACAGAGAATGCGACAGTGTTCAACATCTTCCAAGGGCAGACACCGGCCCTTTCCAACGCATTTGTTCGAGGGATTCAGCTACCCTGTGTGCTAAACGTTCTATCCAAGTTGCAAGAGCTGAAGTTGAGCTGTGGTACCGATCATACACAGGCACACCTTGACGAGTGCCTTGACGTCATCTCCAGGAACCCGAACCTAAAGAAGCTTTCCTTCTGTGGCGACGTCGATATTCACCGGATCGATGCCTTTACTACCGATCCTAGACCGCCTATCCCGTTGCATTCTCTGGAGGAGCTTGCCATTGGCGGATTTCTTCCTGCAACACTCTCCTACGTCCTCCTTCAGCTGGATGTTCCCAATCTAACCAGTCTTACCGTTGGAAAGCTGTGGCGCAAGAACTACAACGACGCACTCAAAGCACTTACACCGGCCACCTGTCCCAATATCATCAATCTGTCACTCATCTCCTGCGTCGTGCACCCATATCTCTCGAGATTTTTACCACAGCTACCCGCCGTCCAAGGGCTCACCTTTGACCACTGGAACAATCCCCCAGACGCGATGCTCTTATCCGATGACCCCGCCCAGGTCCATCCCTGGAAGGATCTGAAGCGGTTGTGCCTTACTCGACCCTTGAATATCAACAAGCCGCTCATAGAAGCACTCCAGCGGCGGCAAGCAATGGGACTAGGGCCTTTCGAACTCCTGCTCGAGGTTGATGACCTGTCATTGTCGTGCCTGGATCCTATGATCACGATGCAAATTCGAGAACTAACAAACCTGCAGTTCACGACGGCTGGCGAGTATGAGCAGGGGAACCCACATGAAGAAGATCCGTATGATATGAGGGCTTGGTGAGGTGAGGCGAATGCTCCAAGAACGATACACTTATTAGAACTGTAGATTTACTATCCTCCTTATCTACCGCATTGGCTTATGTGACCTCCAGGTTTCGGGGTCTGGTGCACATGATTCGTTCGCACGCAGACTGAGATATTCACAGATCACACGACATTTTCATTTCGTAATTATCTTCACGTAGTCACCCATCATACCTATCCTCTTCTCGGCTCGCTGAGCTGCTCTTCTCACTCTTCTCCCAATGGATATATGAAAAGGGAATGCGTTTTGATGCGGTTACTCGAAAGGGAAAGATGAGAGAGAATATGAAGGAATATGGTGCATCACAGAAGAGGCATGAACAAGGAACATGAAAAGCAGGAAATGAGACGGAGAGGAAAGGAGAGACCGGGACACAAGCCTGATTTAATATGACAGGCAGAACAGAATGATGGATGAAACAAACGACACAAGGCGCACAGAGTCACATGAATCAATATGTGAGGGTTGTGTGCTCTTTTACGCAGGAGTAGACTATGGGACTCGTCCGTGGAGGGTTTACTTGATTGCGGGAGTCTAAGCTCGTCACAGGCTTTGAGTTCTATGCTTTGAGAGCACGTAAGGACATGGGTAGATGAAGACAGGTGCCAGTTGGGGATGCTCGTGAGGATGACATGAAAGTGATCTGCACACTGGTCAGCAAAGGAATTCGGAGAAGCAGCGCACGCACCTGATACAGCATATATGCGCGTGCGGAGTTAGGACATCAACTCGATGCCTTTCTTCTCGCCTTCTTCCTCAGGCACGCTCAGGGTCGTCGCTGCACTCCCCGAGGCCGTCTCCGACCCAGGCGCAGTATTAGTGGCCGTAGTCACGCCGTCCGCTTCCCCATTAACGGGCCCAATGCCGGGAATCGGAGGGCCAGAAGCAGGCTGACCCGGCTGCCTCGGTGTACGATGCATGACAAACTGTTGCCACAGGCCGTTGGCGAGACGGACACGCTCTCCCCGAACTTCGACCAGCGAGCTCAGCTCCATCGTCTCCCGTACCAGAGCGTAGTCGTTTGTCAACGTCCGCATCCTGTTGAAAGAAGCGACAACGTTTATATCGACCCAGCCATCGTTGTCCATCTGCGCGCATGATGCATGATCAGTTTAGCTGCTCTTTGGAAACGCGTGCCTACTCACCTGATTACGGAGGAAGACATCGTTCACGAGATTATGCAAGCTGAAGTAGTACTCCACCTGACCAAGCAGATAATACCTCAACATATCGAGTGGGAACGAGAGCTGCGTCACAGGCGTCGGGATCGGTACGCCAGGCATCATACCATTACCAGGGAAAGGCATGCCGTTCGGTTGGGGGGGGATCGCCGGGGGGTAGGGCTGGGCGTAGGGAGGGACGAACGGGGGTGGGGGCATGTATCCTGGAGGAGGGAGCATCCACGGTGGTGGTGGAGGGCCGGCGTATCCGGGCAGGGGGATGTCCATCCCCTGCACCTGCATGGGCGGGCCAGGTGGGGGGAGGTAAGACTCCGGGTCGGCAGGGTCGTAGGGCATATACGCGCCAGGAGGGGGCATAGGCTGAGGATGGGGATGGGGAGGGGGAGGAGGTGG